CAAACCAAATGTAATATTGGATAACATACTACAGCAAATGGACAGATACAGATTAAAAGCAAAGTCCCCTGGTTTGTCTCTAGAGTCTAACTGCCATGAGAAAAATCGGTACCACTTTACAATAAGAGTACCCTTATAAAGGGTTTACGAATAGTTTGTAATTCATTTATTAATTAAGTTGTGAAAACTTTATAAATCATTAATAAGCTTTTATAAGACATGAGATAAACAGGGCAACTGTGACCGGTTGCTTGCCAAATAGTGAGCCCACATTTATCTGTACTGCTAGAAATGGTAGTAACTCATTAATAAATGGGAATGTGTTTAACACTTACAATAAGGCTCCCTTTTGGCAGTTATAAATGTTAGTAACTCATAAAGAGATGCCAAGAAACATCAAGATGGAAGGGGGGGGGAAATCAACTCAGTGAACAACAGATACCAAGGATGCTGGCTGATGAAGAAGACGAATTAAGCTAGGTAGCCAATATAAGGCTTAGTCATCTTGCCAAATAGTGAGCCTGTGTTGACGTATGAAAACTTAGAACTGGTTTATAAATGGTTCTTAATGATTAATAAAGTGTTTACAACCTAATTAATAACCTAATTATAAACCCTTTATGAATCCTTTATAAGGGTAGTCTTATTGTAAAGTGGTACCGAAAAATCGAATCAATGTTTGTGAAGTCAACTTGGAGAATCCACAGGAGAGCAAAGGGTTAAAAAGTCGGGCTGATTGACAGAGTGGCAGCTGTCTGTAATCAGTCCCTAATTGCTAATCAGCGTCGCTGCAGCTTTAAAAGCACCACACCTGAAAGGAGGGCGGTAATTCAAAGCTGGAGAGGGACAAACTAAAGAGCGTGCGTCCAGCAGCAGCAACGAACCAGCAGAAGAAACTACAAAGAAGCAGCACTGGTGCAGCCATAAAAAGCTGGAGAGGCGGCCGGTGAGAAACGAACTGTGTGGTTTGAGAAGAGTCATACAACTTGCCGTTCGTGGCGCACGTTAGAATGTATAGAATGTACGTTCTAGTTCAGTGTCATTTGTTTGTTTGATGTCCTCAAGCTAAAGCAACATGATTGTTGAGTTAAAAACGAATGTGATTTGTTTATTGAGAGATGTGGTTTGATAGAAACGGTTTGAATGCTGCTAAAAATTCAGTCTATTATATTTGCATTTTGAATGAGACTGCATAAGTTAAAAACAGTTTAAAAACATAATTCGTAAAAATACACTAAGAAAGGAAAAACAATATTCACAAGTGTTAAAAAATATATGTAAAGCATGTATTTTTGCATTTATTATTTCATGTGCATTGTATTTACAGTAATTATTTTTATTTTTCATTTAAGGTTTTTCACCTTACAACCTTACTACATATGCTGTACTGCAAACAACAAAAAGTAAAGTAAAGAAGAACTCAAAAGAAAACAAAGTTGTGGTCATTGTATGAGTGAAACCCAGTGAAAACCTCCTATGGACTGTACCATCCCTTTCAAGCGGGGAAACTGCAAAAATACCCAAGGGCTTGACAATGTTCCACAATCCGTCACTAGATGTCGCTCATTGTACCAATACGGTTTATATAATACACAACATATTATTATTATTATAGTAAAAATCTAATCTAAACTAATGTAATATTCAATCCCACACTTGGCGATTGAGAACATAAATTCGTAACTTACCTCGTTTAAAGCTTTTGTTGTAGTACTATGTCAATATTTATAATATATTTCGCGGGCAGGTAGCCTACATAGAATTAGTAGAGGTAGAAGGAAAAGTAGTAGAAGAAGAAATATGCTAACGCTACAAACAGGCACAACACTGTTACTCTGTTTTTACTGACATGTAACATTTTATTTCACCTTGCTCTATGTTTTTTAATGCACATTCAAAAACGGGAGCATTTTCGGGAGTTTCAACCGGGTACCGGCCACCGAAAACGGGGACTTTGCCCGGAAAATGGGGACGTTTTGGTCACCCATCCGACTGTGTTTACAGCTAAGCACACACGCTAACATGAATTAAGGCTACAGATGTAGCAGCTTATTTCAGACTCCAGTTTACAGCTTCCTGCCAGCTATCTGCCTAAGACCTGCCAAAGACCAGTATCTGGGAATGTTAAGCCCTCCCACTATTTTCCAAGAGGGCGTTGCCAGATTTTCAATTTCAGGATTTAACCAGGAGATGACGCTTCATTCACAAATACAGAAAGACAACTTTTCATGGACTTTCAGTTTTGTTTAGAAGAGCATTTGAACACATCAATATTTTAGATCAAATAAAGTATATCTAATCTTGTAATTCAATAATATATAGTCTTTATATAATAATAATGTAAATGTTTACATTACACTTCTTTATTTGTCATGCGGTCTACCTACGCTGTAAAATGTATTATCTCTTCGATTTACACACGGCATCTATTGCACTTCTGTCCATCCTGGGAGAGGGATCCCTCCTCTGTTGCTCTCCCCGAGGTTTCTCCCATTTTTCCCTTTGAAATGTGGGTTTTTCTCTGGAAGTTTTTCCTTGTACGATGTGAGGGTCTAAGGACAGAGGGTGCTCATACTCATTCTGTGCTGTTGTATTTGCTGTAAAGTGTCTTTACTGTAGGGTATTTTTATTATATGTACAGCACTTTGGCAACAGAAGATGTTTTTCTTTAACCTGTTAACCTGTTAACCTGTTCCACTCTGAGCCTGTTTTTCAGGTCTCAGGCTCGAAAATGACATTCCCAGAACAAATGACCATATCTTCCCTTCTAAAAGGGTTAAATTAATAATCTTTTCTCAAAGTAATGATAAACCTGTGAGTTGGATGTAGAAGTGTCAGAATCAATATAAATGTTTTTTATTTTAAAGAAAATTCAGATTTTACATAGTAAAAAACTGTAAATTATAGTGTCCGTCCAAAAATTATTTTTTACAGATAGTGAAAACTACCCTTGGATGATGGGTTAGTAGACTAAAAGCTTTAGGAATCCAAAGTACAACATATAATAAGTACCCTGTATCAAGATTGATGCAAAACAAGTGAAATTTGACCTTTTTAGAGAGATTTAGCCAAAAACTGGGCCATCTGGGGTCATTTGGGTGGATTTGACCTATCTCTGGCCCCCCTTGCTCGATCTGGTTGGTTGACATACCCTTGTGACCGTTAGAGCCAATAGAATCGAAGGAGGATACTTACATAGACACACATTGTAAAGAAAAAATGTTGCCGCTTCGCGTGTGGAAAGCGAAACTAAACTGGAGGAATGTCTCCTTCTGGAGTTTGGAAACTAAAACGCAGTTGTATTGCTTATGGATTATCAGAAATAATTTCAAAGAAGGCACAGACACATAGGATGAACCTATGGATTAACTGCAGCATCGTTTTTTTATCGTTTTAATGCCATTGAAGACCACTTTTGACCAAGGTAAGATATATTTACGTGTTTAGCTTCTTAGCTCCACATGTGATGATGTACGCTTTCGTTGATAGCGTCGCGAATGTTTATCACTGAGTGTTGAGGTGGGCACCGTTAGATTCAGTGTCTCCAGGACACCAAAAAATAGTGTTTGGTTGTGCATCTAGGATAAGTAATAAGGGAGTTCTGAGTGAGTTTATGTGTCTTTGTCGGTCCCGTTTTTTCGATCGAGGCTAATTCAGAGGCTGAGTGCTAGCATTGTGGGTTTTTTTTTGAAAAAAAAAATTAAAAAGATCAGTTAGCTGAGTTTCTTCCCGTTACATGGATATAACACATTCATAGTTTTATTCAATATTAAGATTCCTTAGACGTTGTTTCCTGCAAATGACGCGTTTATCCGCCCGGTACCGGGGGGAAGGCGTGAAACAGGTTAAGCACCTAGCCTGTTTTTCATGTTTCAGGCTCGAAAATGACATGCCCAAAACAAATGACTACAACTTAACTTCTAAAAGGGTTATATGAATAATTTCTTTTATCAAAGCAAGGTTACATCTGTGAGTTGGATGTAGACGTGTCAAAATCAATATAAATGTTTTTTATTTTAAAGAAAATTCAGATTTTACATAGTAAAAAACTGTAAATTATAGTGTCTGTCCAAAAATTATTTTTTACAGATAGTGAAAACTACCCTTGGATGATGGGTTAGTAGACTAAAAGCTTTAGGAATCCAAAGTACAACATATAATAAGTACCCTGTATCAAGATTGATGCAAAACAAGTGACATTTGACCTTTTTAGAGAGGTTTAGCCAAAACCACCCCACCTCTGAGGTGATTTGGGTGAAAATGTTTTTTTTTCTATATCTCTGGCCCCCCTTGCTCGATTTTGATGGTTGACACACCTTTCTGACCGTTAGAGCCAATAGAATCGAAGGGGGAGGCCCACATACACACTCATTGTAAAGAGAAAAGGTGGGGGCTGCACTAGTGATGGGAATTCCGGCTCTTTTGAGTGAGTCGGCTCATTTGGCTCGGCTCACCAAGAAGAGCCGGCTCTTTCGGCTCCCAAACGGCTCTTCTATTTTACCACATATACCTTTTATAATTCAATCAAATGTAGCCCTGTTTTGACTAATTATTTATATGTGTACACATATATCACTTAAATTATTCAACACATCCTTTGTACTGAAGTATTCAAAAGTAAAAATTAAATTTGTAATATAAATGATTTGCTGTGGCCAATTGTTTTCATTGCATTTACAGACCCTTGTATCTCTCTGATACCACCCCATGAATGCACTGAGTTGCTTGTAGAACCACGCTACACAAAGCAGATAGCAACACCAATAAAAACTTAAGCATAGACATTTAAAAAAGGACAGCTACCGTATTTTTGTATATTTTACATTTTTATTTAAACAAAAAGCCCTAACAAAACAGCAGGGCTCTATTTCAGTATAAACTACAAAATATAGCAACAGCTGACATAAAATCTTAAAAAATAAAAATAATCATAAATAAATAACATAATGAAAATAAATATATTGCAATGCTCAAAACAGCAGCAAATAACAGTCTCTATCATACAAAAAACATAATAAAAATAAATGTATTGTAATGTGCAAAACAGCAGTATCAAACAGTCTCTAATGAACCTACCACTGTCAACTATCAAACTGTAACCTTTTCTTTTTCTTTTCAGGGCAGATTGGCATTGAGGAAGACCAAGTGCCTCAGCTTAGAGGGGTTGATCCGGTTTCTTCTCTCTGTTATTATCTGCCCTGTTTTAGAAAAGATCCTTTCTGAGGGGACTGATGTGGCTACAATGCACAGTCGCCGTGCCATGACCTTCACAAGTCGTGGGTACACTGAAGCCTTGGACTCCCACCAGCTCAGCGGGTCTGCGGTTCTTGGGATAAGAGGCTCCTCCAGATAGGACCTTACTTCCAGCATAGCATCTGCTGAGGGATTCCTTCTTGCAATGTCTTCTGTTGCTCTTGCATCAAAGAGCCTCCAAACAGCAGACATTTGTGGCTCCACTTCTGGTGCCCTTGCTCCCTCTTCTCCCTCTTGGCCTCCTGGTGGTTGAGCTGGCTGGCTGCTGAGGTCGCAACGAGCTGCTGCTGCTGTTACTCTCTGAAGAGCCTCATCAACAGCGCAGTTATCATTAAAGGCCAGCCTTTTGAACCTTGGATCGAGTACAGTAGATTCTGATAGGACAGTGTTGTATTCCATTCTGTGGAACTTTCTGTCCATCGACGTTGAGAGAGCAGTCACCAACTCTGTCACTTTCCTCTTGGTCACTTGTGTCTGGTTGTAGGCTGTGATTTTCTGCAGACCCCTGCAGAGGAGTAGCATTTTGGAGGATGTCACATAGCTGAAAAAAGAGAAAACAGTGACTCTATTATTATGCTTTGTTTTATTATGTGGTATATAGACTTTGCTCAGTTTATTCTTGTTTAATATTACATATTCACATCTAAAATGTTCCTTAATATGTTATTATATAATAATAAATAATATAATAACAACTGTCAACTGTACCTCTCTGAGCTGATTTCCACGGTGACCTGCTCAAAGGGTTCCAAAACAGTGCAGGTCTCCTGTAGTGCCTCCCATTCTTCTTGATCCAGAGCATCCATATGTGCATTGATAAGGGCCAGGGTAGAGATGATTGCATCCTTTGACTCCAGAACCCGTTTCAGCATGTACAATGTAGAATTCCACCTTGTGACACAGTCTTGCTTGAGCCTCAGCTCAGGCATATCCATTTGGCGCTGAGTAGACTTCAACTTCTCTGTTGCTCTTGTGCTCTTATGGAAGAATTCTACCATCCCCTTCACTTTGTCAAGAGTGGGCTTCATGACCTTCAGGGCATCTCTTACCATCAGGTTGATGGTATGCGCGAGACATGGGTGGTGGGTCCATTTCAAGAGTTTAATGGCTTTGGTTATGTTAGCTGCATTGTCACTAACACAGCAAGCCACTTTATTTTCAATGTCCCACTCTTTTGCCACTCTTAGCAGTTCCTCTGCCAAGTTTTCTGAAGTGTGTCTGTCGCTAAACTCAAAACAGTCCAGAAGACAGGCCACCGTTTTATAATTTTCTATAAAGTGACATGTAACAGACATGAAAGAGGTGGTGGTTCTTGATGTCCAGCAATCAGTGGTAAGGCAAACTGCAGTAGCTTCCTTAACCCTGGCCTGCAGTGAAGCACGTTCTCTATCATACAGTCTCGGAATGATTTTTTGAGAGAGTGTTTTCCTGCTTGGAGGAACATACATTGGATTGAGAGCCTGTGTGAAGCTTCGGAATCCCTTGTCCTCCACAATGGAAAATGGTTGGAAATCACTTGCGATCATTTTGGCCAATTCTTCATCCACTATGTTCTGTCTAGCTGGGGTCATTGCCTTTGATATAAATTGGCTTATTGAGCTCTGTGTAGCTGTTGGTTTTTGGGTACCTGATGCATGGGGGGTAGATCCTGTAGCTGCAGCAACAACAGGTGGAGTAGACGCACTGGCAGAAGCAGGCAGTCTGGCCTGCCTTTTTTCTTCCAACTGAACTGTTGGATGCACAGTTCTCAAGTGCCTGTGGAGGTTGTTTGTGGACCCTGCTCTATATGAGAGCTTCATGTTGCAAATTCTGCATTCTGCCTTTGTGTTTGCACAATTGTTAAAATGCTGCTTCTTTTCCTACTTTCACTCATCTTATTAGCGCGACGCAAACTGACACTTCACCGTGTGTGTTCTCCTCTCCCTCTGTTCAGCAACCAGCACTGAGCACACGCAGCCCCTCCCTCCTTGTCTATACTCACGTGATGCACAGCATGCGCGTGACATTCAGTCACTGCATGTACGCGGAGCACCCGTAAAAAACAATATGTAAAAAAATAATGGCTCGTTCGCGGGTGCGAGCCGGCTCCCGTCGTTCACTTAAAAGAGCCGGCTCTTTGAGCCGGCTCGTTCGCGACCGACACATCACTAGGCTGCACGTCTGGAAATCTAAAGCAGAGTGGAAGAATCTCTCCTCCTGGAATTTGGAAACTAAAAAGCAGTTTTATTGCTTATGGATTATCAGAAATAATTTCAAAGAAGGCACAGATACATTGGATGAACCTATGGATTAACTGCAGCATCGTTTTTTGATCGTTTTAATGCCATTGAAGACCAGTTTTGACCAAGGTAAGCCATGTTAGCGTTTCTAGCTACTTAGCTCCACATGTTATGATGTACGCTTTCGTTTATAGCGTCGCAAATGTTTATCACTGAGTGTTGAGGAGGGCACCACTAGATTCAGTGTCTCCAGGACACCAAAAACGAGTGGTTGGCTGTGCATCTAGGATAAGTAATAAGGGAGTTACGAGTGAGTTTAAGTGCCGTTTTAGGTTAATTTTTTCGCTCGTGGCTAATTCAGAGGCTGAGTGCTAGCATTGTGGGTTTTTTTTGGAAAAAAAAATTAAAAAGATCAGTTAGCTGAGTTTCTTCCCGTTACATGGATATAAAACATTCATAGTTTTATTCAATATTAAGATTCCTTAGACGTTGTTTCCTGCAAATGACGCGTTTATCCGCCCGGTACCGGGCGGGCCGTGCGTAACAGGTTAAGCCCCAAAGCCTTACATTTTTTTTTTTTTTTTTTTCTTTGAATGGAATGAATACCTATGGTGATAATTCAATGTAATACATCATTTTTATAGTCTGGTACCTGAAAAAGGTCAAATGGCACTGATGGAACCAGATATACCCAAATGTGCCGAAAGCTTATTCCACCTGGAACTGTTTTTTGCTAAACCTCTCTAAAAAGGTCAAATTTAACTTGTTTTGCCTCAATCTTGATACAGGGTACTTATTATATGTTATACCTTGGATTCCTAAAGCTTTTAGTCTACCATCCCATCATTCAAGGGTGGTTTTCACTATAAGTAATGTTTTTTCTTTAGGCGGAGGTAAGAATTTACCTTTTTTTACTATGTTCCATCTGAATTTACTCTGACTGAGAAAAATCTATATTGATTCTGACACTTCTACATCCAACTCACAGATGTAACCTTGCTTTGATAAAAGAAATTATTCATATAACCCTTTTACAAGTGAAGTTGTAGTCATTTGTTTTGGGCATGTCATTTTCGAGCCTGAAACCTGAAAAACAGACTCGGGGCTTAACAGGTTAAATTGAAGTTAAATGCATCAATCTGGTGCACTTTGAGGGCAAACTTAAGAGATTTATGGATACAGCTCTCAACACTCATATGAAACAGAACTGTTATAATAATGATGAGAAACTATGAAATAAGAAATGAATCAAATTAAAATGTAATTATCATATCATATATTATATAATGTATTGTATTATTAAGTAATATCATACATTAACCCCATTATAGCAGATGCCACATTGAATGGATGAACACATGTATGCATCAATAATTACAACAGAGTATTTCTAAATACAAGCTGTAAAAATACTTATATGTATTTAATACTAATAACATAATGATTAATTTCAGGTGATAATACTTTTCAGTGTCTGTCTCATGCAGCAGCTGATCCAGTAATGAGTGACCCGGCCGACAGTAAAAATAAACATTTATAACTAGTTTAGGTTGTTTGAGAGGTAATTAAAATAGCTAAGGGTGATGATCTGACTTGAAGTGTGTGTTTTGCTCCTAATTAAATATTTTGATAAGTGCATGCAGATCACAGTGCAAGATGTGAAGTCAACAGGTATTCACTCAGAGGGGGGTAGGTACTACATGTATTTCTTTTCAAATGCATATAGGCAATGCCACCCATTTACATGTTCTGTAGGCTACACTGCTCTTTCAGGCAAGAATTTGAATGGGATGGGGAGACGTGTGTGATTAAAAATGAGTGGCCAAACTATGGCCAAACTAAGACTTAGTTTTTCAAAAGAGAAAATGCAGATATTATATAAAAAACTAAAGTTAAAATCTTGTTTTTAATGCCCCAAGAGCAATAAAAACACTTGGTAAAAAAATCCTGAGTGAGGCTTTCATAAATTGCATTTAGCTGACGCTTTTATCCAAAGCGACTTACTATTTAATAAATGATAAATGATTATTCATAACAAATATAAGTGATGTGTGATTATTATTCATGCTATATACTGATATAGGGCTAAGTAAGCAATCAATCCTGCAAATTAACCCTTAGTTGTTCAATATATTTATTCAGACAATGTGAGTAGAAATACAGAAATTCTGCTCCCACCTAAGGCCAACGTTGCAATATTACAACATTTCCCTAAAAACTTACCAAAACGTAAACATTTTTAAAACTCTTTCATTTCTGCTCCAGAGGCTATACAACAACATCTGAAAGGTCAAAAAAACAAACAGGGCTAGACAGCCATTTATAACATATGGGAGAATGGTGAAAAGAACCAACTGGACTGGGACCAATGGGAAAATGCCTCTCCCCCTCAATGTGAAGCGATCTAACTAAGTTCTATTCATATTCTTGACGGGAAGAGCAGTGTAAATGGGTGGCCTATATGTATTTGAAAAGTAATATAAATCACACAGTTAGTATACAATAGGCTTTAAAAGCACCATCGATAACCATTGCTCTTCTCCAATTCAAACCAAAAGAGAAAAGGCAGATATTACCCTCATAAAAGAAAGGGTAGACATATCAGTACTCTTAGTGCCAAGTTGCTAAGCTGGGAAAACCTCAGTAAACATGCAAATGTTTGCCTTTTTTACAAGATTGTCAACGGCCTAACCTCACCTCCTCTTAGACAGTTTATTAACATACGCACAACTGCAACTAGGGTAACAAGAGGTGCAGAGAGAGGAGATTGCATTATTCCACTCAGAAAAAGTTCTTTCAGTCAGTCTTCATTTTCTGTTAAAGCTGCTCAGCAATGGAACTCAATCCCATCTCCAATCAGAGACCAGTCCACATTCACTTTATTTAAATCAAAACTCAAAATATGGTTAGTGAGGAATCAGCTCTGCCAACACTGACCCAATCTTCTGCTCCTTACAACCCACTGCCTGTGTTTTAACATGTTTTAACATGTTCTTTTGTTTTGTTTTATTTGTTTTGTTTTAATGTTCTGTATTTTAAATTGTTTTATTTAAGTATCCCAGTAATGTATGTTGCATGTTTTAAATGTATTGTATTTACTTGTTTAAAATGAAATGTGTTTTAGATTGACTTTTAAAATCTGTCCAGGGACTACAGATGAAAAATAGCCTCTTGGCTAACTCTGGCACATTTACAGAAATGTTCATTAATATGCAGTCCCTGTTAAATAAATAAATAAATAAAAACACCATTGCCACCGAAAAGTTTAACCACAAGAATCAAGACTATATGAGCTACCACTAAACAACTCACAGTCTGAAAATTACCATTAATAAAAACCCTGAACGTTTACTTTTCGTTTTAAACATCGTTTTAAGGTGTAAACTTGTCATTTAGGAACTGCGACAGCATAAATATGCGAACACAAACCTACAGACTGCTGGAGAAGAGATATCACAGGGGGGGGTTGGGACACACACATTCCGATGGCCAATTAGTTTTAAACAAAGAGTATACTCAACATAGGCCTACAGTAGGCAGGGGGGGGGGGGGCTGGTGAACGGTATGGTCAATGTTTGTAAACACTGTGACATTTTGACTTTATTTGATCATTTCAGTGACGCTACGCGTCGGGATCCTGATCTGCCTGACAAGGCTCCATTAAAATATAAATATTTTTTGTGAATTACTGAGTTTAGGCACGTTAATAACGTTTTAATGAAGTTGAATACAGAATATTCATATTTGTTAGTGATTTCATGTCAATTAGGCGAACATAAACATAAATGATCGTGGTGAAGATGATGATTAAATTAGGATTAAAAATCGAGAGC